GGGTTGCGATCCCGTTGCCAGTCCCCGGTCCAGTACGGGGGCAACACTGAGGGTTGCGATCCATGGCCGGACACGGAAAAAGACAAAAGACAAAAAAAATAAAATAAAAAAATAAAAAATAAAGAACTTTGTTTTCCATGTGGCTTTAGGTCTTTGTGCATGTGTCCTCTGCATCCCCACAGAGAGGATGGGAGGTTGGCAGGCTGGATTCAGACATTCTGGGATGCCTGGCAATAACCCCATTGAATAGCACCAGTGCCCTCTCCAATATCTAGGAGGGTGAGGGGACTCTCCCCAGAACAGAACACCCAGTTCACTAAAAAGGAAGAGAAATACACAGTAAAACACTCAAGGAATATGAAAGGTATGATGGAACTCTCCAACAACTAAAATATAAGGTTCTAAAAGGATAAATGCTCAAAGAATTTTATTTTAGGGTTAAAAAACATAGGTGAATACAGAGTCAAGTCCAGTAAAGTTGGAAACATAGGCTGATTTTCAAATATACCACAGTAGTGGGTTGAATTTCAATTATAAATATTAAATGACCCTGACCAGAATCAAAGTGTAGCTTCCTAGAAAATGCTTCCTTTCCACTGTTTAGTAAAGCTGATATAAATCACTGAACCACAGAACTTTGGAGCTAAAAAGGATGGCAGCTTTTATCCAATCCAACCAATGTTTATGAATAATCTTAAAAAGCAATCTTCTAAAAACATGAGTCATAAATTATATCTAAACCCAGTCCGCAGGAAACTGTATACAGAGTATATGGAAGAGGATTTAGCTGCTTTAAATAGGCATTCCAGAAAGGACTTCTGGGTTCAGTTTTTGCTTTGATGACATAAACCCAAACTCCTAGTCTTGCAAAGTACCTCCAAAAACCTCTGACCTACAAAAATTTTGAAATGACAATTTGTGAAGCAACCCTACCTCTATTTCCCAAGAATATTTCCAGCCCTCTGTCCCACTCCCTATGGCATGAGGACGAAAACACAAGCAGCACACACAGACTCTGAATAAAACCTCAGAGAAGAGAAAAGATGGGCAACGCTTCCGACATTCTCTTGCCCCTGGGCAGGATGTGGCCTGTGAGGGTATTTGGGCACATGCTAATCCCCATTTCTTATCAGCTGCACTTTGTTCTGGGGTGGTAGGGAACCTAAGAGAATGCATAACCACAACCTGCGTCCTCAAGATGATTACAGTTTCTCTGGGCAGACAGGCATCAGCTGACCTGGTAATGACAACGTGTATAGCACAGAGGAAATAGAATAGGTGTGCTGAGACTTAACTTACAGTAGGAAGTGGAATGGCAGAGAGAGAGAGACTCCACAGACACAGTTACTAATATCACGCCCTGCAAACACCTGCATTGTGTGGTTTTTTTCAAAATGGTGCCTAAAAAATGTATACCCATGTTTTATTTGCCATTGAGGGAAATGTTTTTACAATCATAAAGAAATAAAAGTCTAACTCCTGATCAAATGATCCAATGCTCACCAAAACAATAACACTTAGTCTCTCTGTTGTTCATGTGTAAGGAAGGGGGAAGTGAACAGAAAGACCTAGAGCAGCCACAATCCAACTCTTCTTTTCTTCCTTATACAGTTAAAGAGAATATATTTTAAACATGAACTTCAATACTCAGATAAACTATGTAGGTTGTACTTCTACAACCCCAAATGCTTGGCATTAGAAGAATGGCATTTTTGCTTAGTGTCTCTTCCCCTCAGCCCTACTATGAGTGTGTAACTAGCTAGCTATGCACATCTATATGCCTATTTTGAGTGGCTTCAGCATGCTAAGCTGGGGATAGGAGTACTCACGGGAGAAAAGGTCTGGTGGAGGGGAGTAAGCCGGTGTCCTGGAGAAAGGCAGCACAGAGAACTCTGGTCCCGAGGAATCTCTCTTCCTGGAGAGCAAGGTCGGTTCTCCCATTTCCAAAGCAGGAAGAGAGGGGTGGCTGGAAGTGGAAGTGGTGGCCACTTGGATGTGCACAGTCAGTTCTTCTGGGAGCCCCTTCCTGCTCTGCAGTGAGTCCTGGGATGGCCCCCTCCCCATTTGAGAAGGGGCGATTCTTCTTTCTGGCCCTGCACTGCTGGACAGCAGGTGAAGCCTCTCCAGGGCTGAAAGCAGACAGCAACAATTAAAATCCCACCCGCAGACTTCCAAATGTCTTCATACTAATGGGCTCAACTCTGACTTCTATAAAATATATAGACGTGAGAAGTGCTTAGGAGCAATAATTAACTTTACAAAAAATGAAGTCCTGAAAGAGAGACCACAAGCCAAGACAAAGACTATTTTCAGATCTCACAAAGACTTAGCATTGTGTGGTAAAATTATCAGAAAAGGGGCACACTGCAGCTAAGTATCAGGCGATATGGAATGGGAGATCAGTGTCCCAGAATTTACTTGAATTCAACATGAACAAAGTTCCCAATATTTGGATGACAACAAAATGAGGCAGTATCATGTGAGAGTTTCTAAGCTCTGCAACCATCGCTCACAGATGGAACACAAAACACTTTCGTACATATTTACAGAAGGGGTCCTCCGACCAGACCTGTCACTAGGACATGAAAACACTGAGTCACCTTCAACAGCTTCATCCTCTACTTTCAGGCCATCTCCACGTCCTAGCAACTTTCCTTTGTGAAGTCTCTTTGCCAGTCCCTTCTTCTTTATCCCTGTGGCCACCAGGCCAAATCTCAGCAATTGGTATCTGGATTTCTGTGTCTGCCTTGGTGGTCCCCTTGACACCAGGTTCCCTCCGTCCTTCTACCCCTGTTCCAGACATCTTGGACCTGCCTGCCAGGCAAATCCTCCCCAAATTCACTTTAGTCATCTCACTCCTGTGTTCAAAAACCTTCAGTGGGGCCGGCCCGGTGGCGCACTGCTACAGTGCGCCGCTTGGGAAGCGCGGCAGGCGCTCCCGCCGAGGGTTCAGATCCCACATACAGACCGGCCGCTCACTGGCTGAGCGAGGGGCGGGGGCAATGCCGAGGGTTGCGATCCCGTTGCCGGTCCCGGTCCGGTACAGGCGCGACACTGAGGGTTGAGATCCGTTGCCGGTCACGAAAAAAGACAAAAAGACCAAAAAAAAAAAAAAAAAAAAAAACACCCTTCAGTGACTCTTCCCACCACACCAAATCTAAACTGCCTGGTTTTCAAAGTCCTCCGTGACTGTCCCTAACCCCATCCGCACACCTGTCCTACCTGCTCCTGCTCTCTTCCATGAGCAATTTACACCCTCCCCAAGGGAGGCCGGTGGCTTGGCCACCCCACAAAGAGGCCACACCTGTCCTTCTCTCCTCTGTACCTTCATTCACATCTTCCGGGCATTCCACTCCTCAGCTGCCCCTGCCACCTCACTTAGATACATGGACTTAGGCTCAAATCCAGCTCTAAACTGTTAACTGTCTGACCTGCACATGTTATGTTAGTTAACTTCTCTGAGCTTCGGTTTCTAAATTTCTATAATGAGTAACATGATCTCACAGGCTTGCTGTAAAGATTGAAAGAACAGAAATGTTGGTGTGTAGCAGGTATCTAATCAGTGCTAGTTTTCTTTGTCTTCTCTTCCTCAGTCAAGTCTTACCCACTGAGTCCCAGTCCCTTCTTGAAATCCTTTGCTAAAAATGGCAAGCCACCAAGCTGTGCAGACTGGAGCAAGAATAACCATTTGAGCCCCATCCACACAAACAAAACCGAAGCCTGGCTTTCTCTCCCAGCCATGCCTCCCACCAGACCTGGTGCCTCTGAGATGATAGCGTGTAGCAGGATCCCTGGAGGAGGGATGAGGTTTGGACATAGAATGTAGATGCCACAGGATTGGCCGGGTTGCTCAGCAAATCTGTACTTACCATAGATGGGGCCTGAGTCTCAGGGCTGATGCATTCCAGCCCAGGACCCTTGGATGGGCACAGTGGCTCAGAATGGGGATGGGGGGTGGCAGAAATTTTGTTTTCCAGGACTTGGACATTCATGAATGAAATGAGCACCACCGGCACAAACTCACCTAAGGTGCTGCTCTGGGAGGTCAGAGCTGTTGCTATCTCAGACAAGTGCCCCACAGGTGAAATGGTGAACTTTGTTCTGCCTGAAGACTCGTTCCTTCCTCCAGTATTTGCTGTTTCAGTTAACACAGTGAGGGTTTCTGGAGCATCCGAAGAAGCGTGGTTCCTGCTAGAGGTCTGAACTATCACGCCCTCTTTGGAGGCCACTGATGAAAGGTCCTCTTGATTTCGATAGAAGGTAATGTTTTCTGTGTGGGGTTCAGTGTTACTTTCTGGCCAGTGGTTCCTTACAGTAGCTGAAATAATAAGAAAATGCATCAGGGAAAACTTGCTGGCTTCTGGAAAAAAAAGTAAACCTTCAGAAATGACACCATAAGATACACCAGTAGAGAAGTGGATTCAAGTAGAATAATTTCACCTTTTTCTTCCATATTAATTATTCTTGCAATCCAGTGGAAGAAATTATGAAGCAACAATATAATATAGGATAAATTTTACAGTGCATGGGATAAATGATGGAAATTGATAGAGATCAAGATGGGGCTTCGGGAAGAGCACGTGAACTTCTAGCACCCAGGCAGACTCAGAGGGGGGCCTCTGAGGAGCAAGGCCAGATGAGAGCAAAGGGCAGAAAGCACCTCATAAGCACCAAGTTTGTAAATATGCCTTGTGGGGTGGCAGGAAGGCAAACGCTGGCAGCTCTTAATCCTGACACCTATTCTGGCAGGCAGGAGGTGGGACATGCGCAATTCTAGTAAAACATGTGAAGGATTTGACAACTAAAATTTTGTAATGTAAACAGGTTGATGCAGTAATTTCATTTTCTTTGCTTTTATCCAAAGGAAATATTCAAGAATGTGGACAAAGATTTATCTGCATAGATGTTCATTACTGCATTGTTTGCAATAACAAAAGGAAGAGAGAAAGAGAGAGAGAGAGAACCTAAAAACCCTACACCTGGAGAGCAATTAAATCAGTTACAGTATATCCATATGAAAGGACACTATGTGGTCATTAAAATGATGCTATATATAAAATAAAGAAAGACATTCTACAGATATTATTGAGTAAAAACAGCGGGCTTCAAGATAGAATTTAGAGTACGATCTCATTTTGTAAAAATAAATTAATAATAATAATAGCATATGTGTGTGTGTGCCAAACTCTGATGTAAACATTAATTCATTTAATCCTTGCACAAAGTCAGAGATTGGAGTTCTTATTCTCCCTATTTTACATAGCAGGCAAAGGAGGAATGGGGGAGGCCACGTCCCTCGCCCAAGTTACATGGTCGAAAGGAGGAGAGCCACGACTTCACCAGGCAGCCTGCTCCAAACCCATGCCCCTAACCCTTCAGCTGTGCTCAGGAGTGCTGAGGAAATGTGGATCATGAGTATGGACTGTTACTTGAAGTTTGTAAATTAGAAATGATTTATACTAGTCATAAAATATATTTAAATAATTTATTTCCATAACACCGAAGATGATGGCAAAGAGGGTATTAGTTAAAGACATTCTGAGGATGAATTTAAAGTTGGTGTTAAAATTGGGCACAGAAGGAATCATTTGTAGTATCAAATGTCATTTGTCAAGGCAGAAGGTTCAGAGTCCAAGCAGGTGGATGGGACATACAAGTCCAATCCAAGAAAGCTGCCCCATTAGTCTGGAGAACTCGGTGCCCAGCCCAGCCACATGTCGGAAGCCAAAGGTGAACTGCTGCTGCTAACGCCAGGTCCCTCAAGGATAACACCAAAAAACACACAGCATTCTATGAACACTGTCCTTTCCCAGAACATCCAAACTAAAATGGAAGCAGATATGAAACATATGTACTAACTAGGGGACACTGAGTTTAATGAGTTTCTGGAGACGGCAAGGGGGAGGACAAGGACCATTTGAAGTTATTGCTGATTTGCATGACTCCTTGAAAATCCCGTTTTTATTCCCATTTGTGAATGGTATTTCTCTTTCCGCTTAGGACTGGGGGCAGTGGGCACTGCTGAGAAACCTCCATGCGGATGAATGAATCGCTTCTGTCTACATGAGTCAGGCAAAAATGACAAACCATCTGACAAATCTGTAGAGGCTGCAGGAAAAACCTACTGTTTGTATCTAAATAACACACACACACTCACACTCACACACACACAGAAGGAATGTTACCTTTTAGATGAGCACTGCCCAGGAGATAAACAAAATGAGACACAAACACAATCCTCCTGTGTAACTTTAAGTTTGGGGGTAGCAACATTTTAAAAATAAAAAAAAAAAAGATAAAATTGATTTTAAGAAATACTTTATTTCATTCAACCTATCCAATATATCATCATTTCAATATGGAATTGATATAAAAATATTGAGATATTTTATATACTTTTTTTGGTGTTAAACCTTTAAAGTCTGGTGAGTATTTTATTAGCATCATTTCAAGAGCTCGATAACCACGTGTGGCTAGTTGCTACCTTACTAGACAGTGCAGTTCTAGATCCATGGTTCTCAACATTTTCCCGGCTCTGGTCCACTCCCACCAGAAGCAGTGGCTCACTCATTTGGCATTGGGAGGGTGGTAATTATAAAAACTTCCAAAGGGAGATTCTAACAAAATTTCCTAAGGGAATCATTTCCTCTCCAAATCTCTTGAGAATTACTGTTTTTATGCCTCCTATTCTGTTTCCTGTAGGTGATAATTAACAGAGGCTTCCTGGATGGGGAGGGAAGTTGCCCAGGCATCTGGGCTCCTCTGGGGCTCAGCCCCAGACAGGCGAGGCCCACACTCTGCTAGAAATGGGATGTGGAGGGGTGTTTCCAGGGGCAGCCACAAAGTCCATAAGTTGAACTTGAGACCCTGGGGTTATGGACAGCAGTGACCCGTGGGGCACGCTGCCTTTGTTCTTCCTACTGAGCTGCAAAGGCAAGCTGCCATCCCGGGAGGAGGCTAAAGGGTTTGAGAATGCTTCCTCTATCCTCTTGGTTTACTGGGCACAATGAGAAATTATTCTCAAATGATGCCAGAAAAAAGCAATCGTGGGGAGGCAAAAGAGACTCGAAACCCATGCCCCAAGGCTGGCAAGCCATGAGCAAAGGGAAGGTAATGAACTTAACTCTACAATAGCCTGAAGACAAACGTGAGACTGGCCATGGGTGAGTGTGGCCGGGCCTTTGAGAAAGCAGCAATGTCCCCTTCTTCAGGGGACAGGAATAAAAGTCCCAAACCACAGTCAGCTCAAGCAATCCCACTGCAGCCTCCAGGAGGAAAAGAATGGCCACATGGCTCACACTGAACCATGCTCTCTCCCTGGAGGGTTGACTAAACATGTAAGAAAGAAAAAATGCACACTATAAACAAAACTAAAAGGCAGACAATAGTCCTGCAGTACCCTCAATAAACCTGCCGTTATAAATAACTAAAAATGCTGAATAAAATTTAAAAAAATTTTTTCTAAATGTACTGCTGAGCTGGGAAGAAACAAATCTTCTGAGGCCAAAAATAAACCACAAGCAGGAATTCAGAGAGGTGAGCTAACACAGAAGCTAGCAGCTGCCTTGGGGCATCTGCTCAACATTTGTGACCTTGAACTTCTGTTCTGATGGCCATGGGGATGTAGGAGATGGGAGACAAAACTATCCCATCTTGGGTATAAGGCAAATAGAAACAAACCAGCCCTGCAGAAGGGAATCACAAGGAAACCTGACCTTTCAATATTGGCTTTAGGCGAAAGAAAAAATAAACTCACCCGAGAATTTGTAACCACAAAGCCAGACCTCATGTGGGTGTACAGGACAAATTCACATTACCTGTGTGGTCTAAAACTCAAGCTGAGGATGTACTTAAAAGTGATCCTGAACCTTGTAAAAATACTAACAACCACTGAATTACATACTTTAAAAGCATTTACTTTACAGTATGTAAATTATATTTTAAACACACACATCCTATTAATAAAGTGGGTGATGGTGATCCTGATGGATAGTGCCTCTATATACCTGTTAGAAACAAATACTAATGCTCTCTAGATAAACAAATCTTCAATCAAATTTTTATAATTTATTGATAAAATTCTAAGGAATAAGAAATCACAGTCAAAAATCAAATCACAAAATATACTAAGAAACAAGGCATCCATGAGCAGAAATCAGCAAATTAGATAAGCAAAGACTTCAAATATTGGAATTATCAAAGAATATAAGTATTACAAAGAATATAAGTATATAAAACTACATTAGAAGAAATAAGAGGAAAATAGACTATAAATAATAACCAAAAACATTTTAAAGAAACCTAAATGGAATTTCTAGAAATGAAAAAATATAATTGAAATTAAGAAACTCAACAGCAGGTTAGATGTGGCTGAACTGAGGATTAAGAATTAGAATATAGATGACAAGAGAATATCCAAAATGAGATTAATAGAAAATGTGAAAAAGAAGTTAAGAGATAGGGAAGATAGAGTGAGAAAGTCCAACACACATCCAACTGGAGTCCTAGGAGGAGAAGAGAGAGAACAGAGAAGTGGCAATATTCTAAAAAGGTAATGACTAAGAATTTTTCAGAACTGATTAAAAGCTTAAGTCCTCAGACTAAGGAAGCCCAACAAATCCTTAGGAGTTAGATAAAAGAAATATGTACCCATATCATAGTGAAATTGAAGAAAACCACAGACTAAGACAAGGTCTTAAAAGCAACCAGAGGGGTGGGCCGCCCCGGTGGCGCACTGGAGAGTGCACCGCTTGGGAGTGCGGCGGCGCTCCCGCCGAGGGTTCGGATCCCATGTGGAGACCGGTTCCCGCTCACTGGCTGAGTGTGGTGCGGGCGCAACACCGAGGGTTGCGATCCCGTTGCCGGTCCCCGGTACGGGCGCGACACCGCAGGTTGCGATCCCGTTACCGGTCAGTAAAAAAAAAAGACAAAAAGGGGGGAAAAAAAAAAAGCAACCAGAGGGAAAAAATGACAAATCACCTGTAGAAGATGACAATCAGACTAAGAACCGATTTCTTAACAGCAACAATGGAACCCAAAAGTCAGTGAATAAATATTTTAAATGTGCTGAGAGAAAAAACCTGAAATTGTACACTCAGCAAAACTACCTTTCAAAAACATCTTGAGACTATCAAATGCAAATATTTCAGTTAAAATTGAGTTTACCAACCATCTCCACTAAAGAAAATTATAGAGGATTTATTTCAAGCAGCAGAAAAACAATCCTAGATAAAAGATATCAGATGCAAGAAGATATAATGAGCAAATAAAAAGATAAATATGTGCATAAATCTAAAGAAACATTGAATTCATGAATTAATAACAATAATTTCTCATTTGTGGTATTAATAAAACAAGATGAAGCAAATCTTGGATAACAATAGCACATAAGTCTGGAGGTCAACTATTAGAATCACGTTGTGCAAAAGAGTACTTTGAATTATGTAAAAAATGCATTTAAGTTACCTCAAGCTGACCCTAAGGAATAGAAATATGTAGGATCTATCACCTCCAAACTGGTAGAGCTTGGAATAATATAAAATTTCCACAGAAAGCAATCAATGAATATTGCCTAAAACCAAAACAAAAATCAATAAACAGCAATATTAGCATGTTAGAGATATGAACAAAATTACTACAGGAATCAGTCAAAAGGGTTGAAAGTGGTTGATTCTGGGGAACAGAAAATGATGCTGGTCAGTCTTATAAAATCTATTTGATCTTCAAACTATATTTAAGTTTGATAAAAATAAAAACTAAATTTTTAAAAAGTTGATTAATAAGCAGGGGTAAATATCTGAAGTGCATGATAAAAGTTTAGTGTCAATAATATGGGAAGAACTTTTTCAAATCCCTGAGATGTACATCTCATAGACAAAGAACATGAATGTGCAATTCACAAGAGGAAATATGTAAGTGGAGAATAAATACATGAAAGTATTGTTGGAAAGCAAAGAAATGCAAACTCAAACTAGAAAAGACCTTTTAAGTTATTTATTCTTTATTTAGTTTTTCCTATCAAGTTGGCAAACATTTAAAAATAATATCTAATATCAACGCAGGTACAGAAAATGAACATTTTCATAAAATGTTAGTAAGAATGTAGTTGACAGTCTCTCTGATGAGAAATTTAGCAATCCATTGCAAAAGCCTTAAAAATAGACATATATTTTGACTCAGAAATTTTATTTCTGGAAATCAATCCTGACGAAATTATTAAGGAAGTTCACAAAGTTTTAGGTGTAAGGAAGTTTATCACAGCATTGATTAAAATAACAAAAGTTGGAAACAACCTAAATTTCTGCAATAAAGAGTTGGTTAACTTAATTATGAGACAACATTTTGAAGGACTAACAAAATATATTATTAATATAGTTTTAGTTACGTATTACGCTCACCTTACAGTCTCAAGTGCAAACATAAATTATAAAATTCTATGTGCCTTATGGTCTCATGTTATTAAAAACATATCTACTAAAAAATGTGTCTCCTGAGAAAGAGAACAAAAATGGATGGTACCTTGCTAAAAGGACCCCAGGTCTGGAGACATGGAGAAGCAACTATGTAATGGGCTTTCTTTGGTCCCCAGACTATACCCTAAGGTAGGTAAAGTCTGTAGACTTTAAATATAAAGTTAGCTAATGCAACTTGCTGATAATGAGGCATGTAGGTTGGGGCTCCAGTGGTGTTTCTGAAGCATAAGCATGTGAGTGGCTTCTGGCTGCACAGCTGAAGGACCGATAGGTTTACCCGTGTCTGGGCTGCTCGGCCCTGGATGCCTAGCCACTCTCAGAACCAGTCATGGCCATAACCAGCGGCCTGATCAAAGAGAGGTGCCGATGACCAGCTGTCCAGAGCAGCTAGAGAGTAGACACACCCCTGGTCAGTGCTGCCACTGCTGAGCCCTGCTGACCTCAGAGACCTGCTGGCTGTGGTTACACCTCCACCTCTTCTCCTTAGTCCATGGGTACCACAGTTGCCTGCATTAGTGAGAAACTATTACCTTCAGTGTCCCTCTTCACCTAGGGATTTTTCCCTTTCTTCCCCCAGGAATACAGGAGATAACATTAAAAAGTTGCTTGTTTACCTACACCTTGTGAATCTGTGTTCTCTATGTAAAGGTCCTCTCACCTAGAAGGAAATGAACCTGCTTCCGGCACCGTGCTTGGACCTAGAAATTCAGTTCTCAATAAGAGGCAGCAGGGATGAACAGACTGTGGTTAAAGTCAGTCTGTCTGGGTTAGACTTCTGGATCTACCCCCTAGATGCCTTACAATCTTAGACGAGATACGTAATTTCTCTGTGCCTCGGCTTCCCTCTGTAAAATGGGGACTATAACAGTACCTACCTCCCAGGGCTGTTGTTGATCAATAGACTATACACATGTATGAGCTTAGAACAGTACCTGGTACTTAGTAAGTTCTATATATGCGATGGCTACTAAACGGATTTAGGGTTATCAACTTTTAACAAACAGATTTGGGGATGACCTTAGCAGGTACTGCTAATCAATCACGGCTCAGTCTTCTAATCCTTCTTCAGGCAGCAGATCAGAGCTGGGACAGAGGTGGC